GGATAAACAGTCAATGTATGACAGCTTCTGGCAGACAACCACAACGCTGATGCAGTCATAAAGGGGATATGACGCCATTGACAGGCGACCAGTGAAACACAGCGTTACCTGAATAAAATGACAGATTTCCTCTAGGTTTGAAAATGGATCATCAACATGATTGCAGTGTTTTGCAGAAACTGCAGCAAATCTCAGGAGGTTGAATAAGAAATGTGTGAACTTAATGACATTGTTTGTTAACTGCTAACCATGCTGTCTGTCTTCCAGGATGGAGAAGAAGGAGAGAAAGAGGAGGAGAAGGAGAACTTCGGCAAACTGGAGTACACACTGGACTACAACTTTACTGATAACCAGGTATACACACCTGCATTTTGCAAGCATTAACACAAATATCCAACCTCCCAAAAAACATCAATAATAGGATGGCCTTTTATTCTGCAAAGCTAGCACCACTTCAGGATTTGGGACCCTACAGTTAAACTTATCTCCTCCTTCTCTCCAGCTGATAGTCGGCATCCTCCAGGCTCAGGACCTTGCAGCCATGGACATGGGTGGCACCTCGGATCCCTATGTCAAAGTCTACATGCTGCCGGACAAGAAGAAGAAGTTTGAGACCAAAGTCCAGCGCAAGAACCTCTGTCCAGTCTTCAATGAGACCTTCACCTTTAAGGTTTATACATTGACACTGGGGACATCCAGGCAACGCTGAACATTAAACATTTAACAAAATTAAATAGTTTTGATCAGTGTGAATGTCAACTCTAAAGCATTTTAGAGTTAGCCTTCTTTTCTGTACCTTTCTAGATACCATATAGTGAGCTGGGTGGTCAGACTCTGGTGCTACAGGTGTTTGACTTTGACCGTTTTGGTAAACACGACGTCATCGGTGAGATCAAGATCCCCATGAACTCAATAGACCTTGGACAGCCAATACACGATTGGAAGGATCTGGTTGGAGGAGAGAAAGAGGAGGTACATGATTCTTTTTTTTTTTTCATTGAATGTAACACAGGGCTCCAGACTAACTTTTTGCATTGGT